GCCTGGCGAAGAAGCCATCCTCGAGGTCTTGGACGCCTATCTGGGCTCTCCTGAATTGGATTTTGTCTCTCCACAGGTTTATTTACACTTTTGGTTCCCCATACCCCTTGGACAGGAGGCAGCACGTGGCAGGAAGGACCCTCAGAAGTCAGCTCTTCACAGGGTATGATATCCTCACAGTCAATGCTGTCCTCATGGGGGAAATAGCCCACAGAGAGGCTCTGGTTGGATGAGGATTCCAAATCACACTGCTCCACGTCAGGGCTGCTGCCCAAGGGTGAGTCTTCCATGGAGTCCAAAGGCTCAAATGCCCAGTTTCCCTCAACTCTGGAAACTTCAAAAGAAAAACATTAGTCAGTGAAATTGGGAAAAGGTCATGTACTTCAGCATATAAATCTAATCAATTTCCCATTCAGAACTATCCCACTCGGGCAGAAGAGCATCCTATGCTTGCACTCTCTAGTCAAGAGCAGAAGAGGCAGTTCTTTCTCTTTAAAAACTTTTTCTATTGTATAATAACCCTCTGCACTGAGCACCTCCACTTGATACCTCTCCTGCTTTGTCCTCTTTCTGCAGTTGGAAAAAGTGCCAATCATAAAAGATAGTTGTATAAAAATAAAACTTGAAAAATACAGGAAAGTAGGAAGATGAAAGTTAAATACCCCATCCCACCATCTTGGGTGATAACAGCAGGAAAAGAGTTTTGTGGATTTCTTTAGAATCTTCTCCTTCTTTACATATACATACATATATGTACATTTGAACTTGTATGCACTCATCCTTATATATGTGCATGTCACATCAAAGAATGTGAAATTACTCAATTGTATGGCACAGCCTGCAGGAGACACATATATGGCTCTCTGTAATTCTTAACCACTCTCTCATGAACTCTTTTTGAGGATCACCTCTTAATGACCATGAATTTAGGTGATCAATGACGCTTAGATTATTAAGACCACTAACAGTGGTCTTATTAATGATAGTAAACTCCCTTATCCACAAATTTCTGCCTTTCTTCTCATAGTCCTATAGGTTGAATTACTAGATTAGGATTAGAAATATATTAAAGTTATAATTGATACTAAATTACTTTCTAGAAAGAATACAGCTATTTAAATGCCCATCCTCCCCTCATCTGTTGGCATCTTTAGTCCAACATTTCCCATGATACTCTAGCAAGTGCTTGGGGGGAGAGAATAAACACCAAATGGCTTTCTGTCTGTCTCTCTGTCTCCCCCCCACTCTCCCCACCCCACACACATACACTTTGGAGACTCTGTCATGTTTGTCTCTTGCGATTCTTGTGGAAGGAGATGCTTCCAATTCCTGAGGCATACACAGGATAACTGAAGTCCTTCAGATCCTGAGCTTAGTAACTAAGAGGTACAACTGTTAGAAGTCTGTGTTCTGAGAATGTTGGCTACCGTGGCAACAGAAGAACCACATTAGAGCCAGAAGTGTGGAAGGAGGAGTGGGGGATAGAAAATCAAAGACTCATCTCAGTCATTTTTAAAAAATTTGTTTTAATTAGTTATGCATGATAGTAGAAAGTATTTTTACACATGGTACATAAATGGAATATAACTTCTCATTCTTCTGGTTGTACTTGATGTAGGATTAGGATTACACAGGTTGTACAATCATATATGCATATAGGGTAAAAATGTTCAATTCATTCTACTGTAATTCCTACCCTATACCCCTTCTCCTCCCTTCATTCCCCTCTATTCTTTCCTAGACCCACCTGCCATTGTGAATTTGCATCCCCATATAAAAAAAAAATTGGGGACTTTGTTTCTTTGGGATTGGCTTATTTTGCTTACCATGATATTCTTCAGCTCCACCCATTTACCTGCCAATGCCATAATTTCATTCTTCAAGGCTGAGTAATATTCCATTTTGTACCTATACCACATTTTCCTTATCCATGCATCTGTTGAAGGACACCTGGGTTGGTTTCATAGTTTTGTTATTGTGAATTGAGCTGCTATAAACATTGATGTGGCTGCATCATTGTAGATTGCCGACATATATATATATATATATAT